TGAAATGATGATACAAAAATGAACATCTAGACCAAAACATGTTGCTCCTACCTTTTGTGTTGTGCTCTAGCACTTTCCAGCTCCTTTTGAGGGTGGAAAAGGTAACAGCATTGCAAGCAAAGATAGAAATTATTTTTCAAACTGTCTAATTTCTGTGTAGTGCAGAATTAAAGAGGAGATAAAGCAGAGAGGAGACAGAGAACTCAAAGTAGAGGAAAGAATAAGGTGGGTAGGGCAGAGAGGAAAGAGAGGAAACAGATGTTGGAACACTGCAGGCAGTGATGGATTATGATGTGGGATTTAAGAGAAGAAAACAAGAAAAATAGATTAGTAAGAAAAGGCTTAAAGTAAGATATTTTCAGAAAAGAAATTTGAGTAAATGTTGATCTTAAGTACGGAAAAAATGTGTATAAACAGTATTTAAATTGGGGAAACTGTGAAAGCCAAGCTATTTTGCATTTTGTCTAGTAGATTTAAACTTGAGGCTAGCCTATTCTAAGTGGCTAGAAATAGCTATTTTCATGGGCTATGCAGCTACGTGACATTTATTTTTCCTTTTTATAACTAAAACCATAGTTTTCTTCTAAAAGAGAGTCAAATATTTGAAATTTGCTTAATTTTTCTTTCCAGACTGTAATTTCTAGGAATGCAGAGTTTCTACTAGTGCTATTTGTGTGATACTTCTGGCTATTGTTTTTTTCCTACTTATGTGGAGTATTTCTTGGGAGATAGGCATAATGAACCATAGGGATAGTGACAAGGGTATGCTGGAAGACCAAATTTTGGGTTCTCCTGTGAGGAACCAGTTTCAGAAGGGTGCAAATTCTCATTTCGGAATTTATTGTTTGCTATTTAATAAGCAAGAACAGCAGATTGCTTTATATTGTTTCATTCTTTTCAATGTGATGTTTCCAATCTGCTTACAGTAAATTTTAGGTTGGAGATTTGCTGCTAATTACTGGGAACACATACAAGTTAATTTCTTTCTCTTCCATCCCCAAGGAGACCAGGCTTTTTGTTTATATGGTTAAAATATAGAAGAGGTCTCAAATGACCTGAAATATGATCTTAGTGCCTTGGGCCAGTAATACAGAACAGTGGGAGACACAAGAGGAGCAGAGGAAATTGATTTGGGATCTTTGCCAGTGGCTTAGTTTGTTGGGTTACAGGAGGCTGGACATCTGTGGAAGTAGGTAACTGCTTCCAAATGGTCCTAAATAACTTAAAACCTAATAAAGAGCAAATGAAGAATAACTTACTCTGCCTCACTAGAGAGAAGGTGAAGATACACTTGACATTTTTCTCCAAGTTTGTAAGAAATTTTTTTTGATGGTGGTCAGAAGGGCATGAGGTTCTTTTATTTTCCCCTCTCTTCCCTCTGTAGCCATGTATGATTGTTTTGATTTTTTATTTTATTTTTTAGCCTGAGACTGAACCGTCTCGCCGATTCTTTGTTGACCAGTGGGAGCTCTCCCTTAGCCTCCGTTCTTCTAATCGCCCTTCTTCACCTTCATCTGACTCCCTTCGACAGGTAGCATTAGCGTGAGCATTGCAAGGTGCACTCAGCTGTGTTTGCCTGCTGCACCCCAGTCCCACCAGCCAAGGACACACCACAGGAGATGGCTAGGCTTGCAATGCTTCACCTGCAGAATGCAATGTCTGTGCATATTCATGCACAAATGAGAAGCCAGAGGCAACCTGTGGCATAGCTTGGTTATTGTCAGCCATAATGCAGTTTGAAACTAAATATATTTAATGTTTCGTGTAAATTAAAAGCTTGTGGTACATCTCACTCTCAAATAATTTGTTTTGAGCACTGATAGTCCTTCTGGCTTTGCAGTAAAGCTTTCTTGTTTTGCTTGCTGCTTTTGTTGAGATCTTGGGCCAAACTACAGAATGCTTTGTGGATATATGCTTAATGGACAGTGTGAAATAAAAAGTACTTCAGCTTTCTGGAAAATCATTGAACATTTGATGTAGTTCCAGTTGTCATACATAAACAGCAGGAACTTGATTTGACCTAAGCTGGAGTGTGTTCTTTGCCCACTCTTGAAAATATTGCAGAACGTTGTATATCTTGAAGGCTTTTGCTCATGGGAGGAGAGATAAAATCCTTCATTTAAGACCCAGTATTAGGCCAGATGAGATGTGTAGGAAAGAAGCAAAACAAATCAGAAACACGGAACGCCAATTCAAAAATTCAGCAACTAAATTTCCCCCACCAAATAGTCCAAGGTATTGTGAGTTAAGATTAGCATAATCGCTTTTTGAGCGTGGAACTTCATATGTGTTGGTAGAAATGTGAAGATCCTCGAGCATCTGCAGTTAAGGTTGGATGAAGGTTTCAAATCAAAACTTGTTCAGTGGAAACCTGGCTCAGCTAAAAGAAAGTTTTTACCATGTAAAAGCTTGAACTATCTTTTAAGAAAACTTAAAGCTTCAAAGTTTTCTGGTCTTTTAGAGGAAAATGGAAAACTCTTGGCCATATGATTATGATTGCCAATTAAAAGTCAATGCTGGAGGAAATTTTTCCAATGAGCACCATTTTAAATGTAGTATTTGACAAGATGTGATATATGACATTGAAAGGCAACTCTGCACATGTGTGTGTGCACACACTAGCTGAGGAAGAATATGGAACCTGGAAAATTTTGAAAGACAGATCATGTGTTACTTCTTGCATATAAATATTGTGAGTGCTCTGCATTTTGCGGTGGAATCAGTAGACAGGTAGAAGTTCTTACTGGGTAGAAATAAACCCTCATTACTGCAGTGGCACAGAGCTTAAGAATTAGGACTTCAGTGACAGCAGCAGTAATATCTTATGGCGGAGCACTCAATTTTCATAACAGTTTTCCCCAAAGAAGTACTTATTCTGTGGTGAATTTCAGTTTTTGTGATGCTTCCTGCTGTTCTGGTGTCTGAACATTTGAAGGTCTTAAACATTCTTAAAAGGCTAATAACCACGTGTACGAAATCTGTGCTGTGTTATTAGTTGTCGAAATAACTAGTGTGCTTCAAACAACTATGCTATATGAGTAAAGGAGGTTTTTTAGATACAACTTTAGTCCTTTCCTTCAGAAAACTGTTACCCTTGGTCTTTTACACTTGCCAGAAACTGGAGTGTCTCTCTGATGATCCTTCATTTGCTGAGGAGACTCCCGCTAGGAACATTTGTAATGCCTCTTAGTCTGGAAAAGGAAAATTGTTTGGCTGCTGCTCCTTGCTGCTCTGAGTCAAATACGTGTTGTTTGCAGTGTGATTGAGCTAATGTGGATGTAACCACATAATTTTCTTAACCATGTAATTATTGCCAATGGTTGTTAAGTATTTCCTGTGAAAAACACTTTCTCTACTCCTACAGTGACTGAACTTGGCTTGCAAACACTCATTTTGTACCATCTAAGGTAACAGCCAACTTGCCTAGATTTCTTGGAATACCAGAGAGTTTTTAGATATCCAAAGTTAGGGAGTCAGTCAATACCCATGATGGAGAAAAGCCTAGGCATAAAGCCGTTGTTCACAGTTGAACAAGTATATGTTCCAGATGTATGCAGGTATGGCTTTAATGCATTAGATGAGGCTCTTGCATCTTTTTCCATATAAACCTCTGTATATTTTAGCATTGGAAGAATTAATATTTTTTTAATCACTGTGGGTTCCTTAGTTAATGATTTTTCCCTGCTCTATGAATGCTTTGTAAATGAATTCTTTCCAGTTGCTAAGCATATAAATATGCTGTTGTGATCAGCATGTTGCATTAGACTGTGTAGCGTGTCTTCTAAAAGATCTCTGTTTCTGCTGCCAATTTTGCCTGGAACCTAAAATCTTAACCTATATTTGGCCTCATCTTTGAGAAGTGTCTATGTGTAGGTTTCTAGGTGCAAAACACCCCACAAGTGAAAACAAGATCTGCTTTCTTCATCATCATAGTATTTCTAGAGCACTTAGAGAAAGCAAAACGCAAGCTGCCTTTTCTGTTCGTACAGTTGATCCTGGACTGTACTGGTGATTTCTGATGACACTAGCTTTGCTATTACTACTTGTCACTTTGTATTGTCCACTGTCTTGGCATGGTTTGACTTCTCTGCACCTTTTCACTACCTAACCTATCATCATTTTAGTAATTTTTTTAATTTATGTGTTTTGTTGTTTTGGTTTTTTTTCTTTTCTCACTTCACTGCTGTTTTATTCCATCCATCTGGTAGAAGTATATAAAGATGTACACAGGCGGAGTGAGCTCATTGGCTGAGCAGATAGCCAATCAGCTTCAAAGGAAAGAGCAACCCAAAACCCTTCTAGACAAGAAGGAACTGGTAAGATGATGTACAGAAGATGATGCGTGTTTGTGATTAGATGTACTGTAGATCTGAAGTATTGTGAGTGTCCAGTTGTTACTACTGCTAATGGAATCTGTCGTAGCTTTGTGAAAGACTTCATTTCCCTTTCTCTGCTCACCCTCACTCTTGTCCTCATTTTCCTTGCAAAATATTTTAATCTAATCTCAGTGTCCAAGGATTGTGCATAAACAGTTGAGAAACTGCTTGTCGTATTTATGAAGATGTGTTTGATCCATTGGGGCTATTTCTGCATTATTGTTTTCTGGAGAAGATACTGATTTTGATAATGTAGGTCTAAGAACTGCTGTTTGAGGGACTTCTGATGGTTTTGGCTTTCCATCATATGCCTCCTTCAGTCATTTATTTCAAGTACATATTTACATCATTAATAGTACTGGTGTCGGCTCTTCCATCCAGAGCTTATTTTACTCCTGACATATGTAGGCATGACATCCTAGGACCTTCTTCCCTGAACAATAAGGTTAGTTTTTGGTGTCCTGATTAAAACTCTGAATTATGTCCAAGAACTGCGGCACCCATGTGTGAAAGAACTGCAGCATCCAGATGCTCCTATATCCACAGAAATGAAGAGAAAATATGACCGTGCAATCTTGGTAAGGCTGGTCACACACAAATTTAACCATGCCTATTTCTATCTAGGGCTCGCTCAAAAAGGAGTTCCCCCAAAACCTGGGGGGCAGTGATGTTTGCTACTTCTGCCGCAAGCGAGTCTATGTGATGGAAAGGCTGAGTGCTGAAGGCAAGTTCTTCCACCGGAGTTGCTTCAAGTGTGAATACTGTGCGACGACTCTGCGCTTGTCATCCTATGCCTATGATATTGAAGACGGTAAGAGAAATTGCCTTTTTGTCAGAATTCTCTTAACTGTCCTGGAAGTCCATCTAGTGATTTCAGCTCTTTCTTTACTTAAAAATTATTTGGCGAGTTAAGGAAGAGAGTAACTTGATTCCAAAGACACCATCTCTCAAACTGTTGAAACTATGTGGATTTCCTGTGGCCAGGTCATGCTGACAGCAAAATAACTGAGCTCTTAGGAATTAATTTAACATAAAACAACTGCTAGAATGCAAAGAAACAAATAGTATTTAGGGGCTTTACAAGGGTTTGGAGGCTGAATTTGAGGGCTAGACCCTTTATTCTTATTTCAGTACTGTCAACGAGGAAACTCTTTGGTGTTTAATACCACTGAAGAGAAAATAACACGTTGGAGAAAAATGCAGTCAGCTTTTTCTTCTTGAAGACATCACAACTGTCCAACTCTGTATGTTTATTTTAGATGTACTAAAATAGGAACTTTATAATCAGGGGCTATGATAGTAGCCTATTACAGACTAAGTTCTATTTATGTAGCAAAAAATGGAGCATCGAAGTTCAGTAGAGGTAAGTCAGTCATATAAACAGAGAAAGTGTTGTTGAAGTAGTTACTGAAGATTCCGTAAGGACTCTTGTTTTCTCTATCTGGTAGACTGAGGAGGAAGGAATATGATTCTGAAACTTGCTGATGACTTAGTTAACAGATTCTAGCATGCTAAGAATTAAGGGAAGCTTCAGATATACCTAACAAATCTGAGAAACCAGACAATATGGCAGCAGATGAAACTCAATTTATCAACAAAGTGTGCATATTGAATGTAATAATTTGAAATCACACATCACTTGTGAAAAGTAATCACCTTCTAAGAGTAGCAATGTGTTACATTCTTTGCTTGAGCAGTGATTGACAGAAATTCCACATTTTCTGAAGAAAAAATGAGAAAGTATGTCAGATAAACCTTTATTTATATTAGCAGGTATGCCTTTATTTTCTTCCACAGCTGCCATTTATCTTTACTCCTATCTCAATATGAAAATTTGTGCAAAGTGATGTAAAACTAGTCAGAGGTTAGGTGGAAAGGATTCTACCCCAGACGTGTTGGTGTAGAAACCAAAATAACAGGAAAAAAGTGTTAGTACTGATAGTTTTCCCCACTCATTGAGGCAAAAATGAAGTAAAAATTATAAATTGATATGCCACAGGATGAAATTCCAGAATATTCTACTGCAGATTGAAATGTTATAAAATTGATAGGTATCTACTGCATGTAGCTAAGGAAGAATCTGTTTGCATATACTGGGTAGAATAATGGCCATGGAAACACCATCTAGGCTTAAGGGGCAAAAAGAGCCAAAATTTCGTATTGATGATGCATTATATAATGACTTAAGTAATGGACTTGCTCAGTCATGAGGAGTTGAGGGAACTTAGCATTGTCAAACCAGACTCCCATTAAGGAGTAGAAAACCCATTATTACTTGGCCGGAAAGTCAGCAGACTTGGCATGCAAGTTTAAAGGGGCCACTGATAATTTTGAAATCAACATACAAAAGTAATATCTTGATCAGTAAATCAAAGTTGGGAAAAAGCATATTTGAAAACTGGTTATTTTGGACATTCACAAGTAACTGAATACCTGACTATACGTTTGGCAAACAGACTGAGCTTGTCTGTCAGCTGTATGGGCTGAAACAGTTTCTGCCGCCAGGTTTAGTGATTTCCTCTGCAAGTGAGGTTATGTATGCAGTTATGGCCAGATTGTTCTCAATGAAGACAACACAAAGCTTGGTGTTTCAGCACACTTACAGCATTGATTCTGAAATGACATTACATGCCTAACAGTTGTGTGTGTATATGAAGCAGATATGACCAAACAGAAATATGTGGTATCCTATCTAATCTCATCATTCTGAAAATTTAGCTTATATTTTATTCTGAGTTTTCTTTGAGAGAGGTGGTGACAAAGCTATGCACGTATCGTTGTTATTCATCTAGCTGTTTGGACTGATGAGCATTCTGCAGCGTTCTGCAGTGTGTGTCTGGTTTTAGGCTTCAAAGCCTGAGAATTTTTATGGAAGAGCTTTTCTGTTGTTGCTCTTTTCAGACAATTTGAAAGAGCTGTTTTTGGAAAAAGTAAATATTAAGAAATGTTTATTTAAGCAGAGACTTCTCAAAAGATAGCGTTTGTCACTTTTCCATTGTAAAACAAAGCATTGTGCAGATACCAGCCCAGAGAAACTAGAAGAAGAGGCAAAGGTCAGAATATAGGTTTGAAATGCATTAGCAAAGTTGCAGGAATAGGTTAGCAGTAGGGGATGCTATGGGCTTCATATACCAAGCAGGATACACTGCCAAAGGTACACTAGACAATAATTATGTGACATCAGTTTGCTGCCATTATTATTATTTGTATTATGGTATTACTAGTGCTGCTTTGGCTTCCTGACAGTGTTCAGATACTGGTGAAAACCCATCTAGACTTCGGGGTGTTACTAAACCAGTAGTATCACAGAAGGTCTTAACTGTGAAAATGAATCATTCGTTGATTGTCCTTTCCACAAGTAGCCACTGTGCATTTTTAGAGATGGTTCTTTGGGAGTTAACACTGTCCTCTCTGTCACTTTCCTCTGCTGGTTGTATTCATTCTTGCTTTTTCCAAAAGTGCTTCTGCCAGCTTTTCATGTGATGATTTCTTTGTTCCTCACACACTGCCGCATTGTTAGCATGTGATACCACACAAACCTCACAGCTTTGCTTTGGTGTTTGATAGGATTTTAAGCTAAATGGCTGTCAGGCACCCAATGGAAAGGAGACTAGCTAGCTAGGAGGGGGAGAGAGGAGGGCTGGAGTTAAAATTTCAGATAATGTTTGCCTCTGTGTATAGTGAAGAAACTAGAGGGAGCAATGGGAATGGCAGCAGAAAATAAGTTGCAGTGAGATGGACGTTTATATTGTGCTAAACTGCTGTGTTCTCATTGTCAGCTATCATTTGTGTTTTATCTGCAGGTAAATTCTACTGTAAGCCTCACTACTGTTACCGACTCTCTGGTTATGCTCAAAGGAAGAGGCCGGCAGTGGGTCCTCTGTCAGGAAAGGTAACTCATTGTTTTCATCTAACATGTCATCTTAATAGGTTTTGATTCTTAACATTGAAGAAGTAAATATACTCTCTTTTGTGGTTTGGTTTTTTTTTTTTTTTCAGAAAGTAGAAAAATTCAGATTGCATCGAGTTGCCTTTTTATATCATGAGAGCTTGCAGTTCTATGAATTTTATTTAAAAGCATTTCCTTTAATTACCACTTTTCTTTTCACGGTTCTTATTATAAAATAATGTACTGTCCCATTCAGAACAGGATTTTCATTTGTTTTCTTGTCGACTGAAATACTTATTCAGTCCATGCAGAGAATAAATGAATAATGTTACCAGTTTTGGTTTTGCTTTGTTTCTCCATGCTTTTTCTCAAGATGAAACAAATTATTTGCATTTCCTTTGAAACATGAAGTTCTACCCCACTTGCTTAGGCTATGAAGAAGACCTGCCTTCATTTCTGAAGTTTTTCTGTGTGTAAATGGGAACCTGCGTGAAAAGAAAGGATATCCCTTTTTCTATACTATTGTAATGGAAGCATTTGTGCTTTAAATATAAGGTCAACACATACTGTGTAATACAGAAAAGTCTCCCAGCTTTTGTCATTACAGTCCAGGGCACTTAAAAGGGGGTTGAGGATACAAATTCAGTATTTTTGCATACTCCAAGCAAACTACATGCTAGTCTTTTAACAAGTTCTGTTAAGCTTGCACGCTACAAACTGTCCTTTCCCCTTAAATTACGTTTTCCTTTGTGGTGGTGGTGGTGCTTGTCTTTCTGCCAGTTTCTCAGGTTTTATTAGTACAAGCTAAAGCTGTACTCCTTCTTTTTGGAAGGATAAGGGATCCATCTCAATATTTATGACATACTTCCTGCCAAAAATAAAGACCAAAAATGGTACTTGTTTTATGTCCCAGATGAGCAAACTTCAGGGATCTTACTGCTTTGACTTTCTTGGATATCCGGCTTACTTTCAGAACTTTAATAAAGCCAGAAAATGAGAAGGAACGTACTTAGTTCAGACATTGCATTATGTGATGATTAAGGGATATCTTAATTGCAAGAGGGATGTCTTCCTGGTTCAACGTGTTCAATTGAACACAGCCTCACATGATCGGAAGGAGTATTTCTGAGGCATTTTCAGTTTTAATATGAATTTAATTTCCCCCACATTCTTACAGGACACCAAAGGACCTCTGCAGGACGCCATGGCAAATGATGGAAGTGGACGGGCAAATACCATCTCCGCCTCAGCAGAGAGGGCCCCAGGTAGCTCCGCTTCCTTCTTTAGCAGGGTGGTGCAGTACTCGCTCAGCCTCTTTGACAGAGTTAGGGTGGCAAGCCAGCGCCTGCAAAGCAGAGTTTCCTCGATTGGGCACCAGGTAGCCCAGAACCCTTTGGACTCCTTTTTCATGTGTCAGCTGATGGCTTTTGGGGTTCCCTTTCTCTATGTCCAGTCAGAAGTTCTTGTGCAGATCCTAGGGGAATTTTGTGGGCAGCCTGCTGACCAGTAAGAATTAATGTGACCCAACTTTATCAGCTGTGTAACTAATGTGATTTTTGAGGTGCCATGTCAATTTTGTGCATTATGTGAAAGTCTCAGTATATTATTTTGCACTGTGGCTTTGGGGCCTAGATGTTCTCAGTCGTTTCAAGGACATTATCTGAAGAATTCCAGGAAAACACAGATGGTCAGTTGAGAGTCTCTTCTGAGTGGGCCCAGATAAAGAGCCCTGTAACGTGTGCAACTCGGTGCTAGTGAAGTTAAAAGTTCTTCTGAAGCACTGGAATAGCTCACAAACTGGATTTCTGTGTTTGCCTGAATTCTGGGTGTGGTTTCTTGTTCTTCCAAGCTTCTCTTCGTTAATCTGGTACTTGAATTGGAAAGACCGCATTCTCTCTGGATTGTGTCTCCTTTGGAATTCTGGGTGTCTGACAGCTAACGGGATCAGATTCCTTGAACTCCTTGAATTTTGTGGTGCTGTTGGTCATGGTGCTCTTCCCTCACTGCCAGAATCTGTGCTGCTCCTGGCCTTGGCTTTGGGAATGGGGTGGTGAATGTCTGTGTCTTACTGTGAAGTAGTTTTGCCCTTTAACTTGAAATTCTAATTCCTTCTAACGTGGGAGAAGCATTTGTGCTACAAATGCTCATTTGCCCAGCCCCTAAGTGCTCGTTTAGTGATGTCAGAAAAAGGAAGAGGTTTGATTTCTAGTATTTGTTCCCGAACACTATGGATAAACTAAATCAGCTGCTTTTGGAGAGAGAACATACTTAGAGCAACACTTTGAGAAAACAATGTTTTTGCAGTACCAGTTGAGAAAAGACCTTAACAACATTCAGGAAAATAAAAATCATGCTGTTGTTTGACTTTATGTATTATTCTTACAAGTGTTTCTAAGATTGTAACTGAATGCAGTCTGACAGAAATTTATTGTAAGTGAGTGCAGTTGGTTCCTAAAGTGTAGTTACTTTCACAGTTTCCTCTTTCGTTTGTGTGGAATTTCCATATGGCAAAATGGAGGACAGGGAAAAGGTACGGAAGACTGACATTTGGAAAATGCTGTAGACAGATCAGTTGACTACAGCATTTTTTGTACAACTGGATAGACTTAAAATTGCTTTCTCTAAAAGTGAAGAGGTTTTTGTTGGTGTTTTGTTTCTTTGTTTTTAGCTGGAGCATATTCTTTAAGATGAATGGAAAAAATATTTCTTCGAGCACAGGGCATGTGATCTGAGAATAAGGTGGTTTATGAAGTAAAGCTATTGGTGATGAGGAGTGGAAGAAGGAGAGTTTAGCTATAGTTATCAATTAGTTTATCAAAGCAATTGCTGGCAGAAAGTCTCCTTCCTCTGATTTAGTCTTTCCAACTGATTGAATTTAATTACTCACTTTTGTAAATGAGCATTCAGTAAATAGCATCTAAGTGATCACTAAGCAGAGCAAACAGTAGGCCATGGTTTCCTATAAACTTCTATAAATCAGATATAAATCAGAAGTTTCCATCTCTCCTTATGCAGTGGTGGCACAATCCTGTAATAGAACTGTAGTACTCCCAGAGGAATGAAACAGAACAGACACCATTTTATCAAATGCCAAAACTTGAAATCTAGGGCTCCTTCTGTTTTGTTTTCTGCTTTTCTAAAGCAGTATATAACAATAGCATAATTTTTAAAGCTTTTGGACCTTTTAAAGCTTTGCCTCTTGCAGTGCCCAAGGTACATTAGGACATATTCAGCTTAGCTGAGTCAAGCTAGGTCATCTTTAAGGCAGTGTATTGTGGTGCATTCTTCTGTGTGCATGACAGAAGTACATTTAATGATAGAAGAGTGACCAGTGCCTCTGCCGTTCTCCCCCTTTCTGCTAGAAAAATGCCATTAGTGGCTGAGATTTTTGTTTTCTTTGTTGAAGTAAGTTCCAAGAATATCTTAAAACTACTGGCTTAACAATGGTGAAGAAGCAGTAGGAGACTAAGTGCAATGTACTTTAAAAGCAAGCCACAGTGTCATTAAAGACAGGTGAGTTCTCTGTTAGTGTAACACTCACGTCCTGTAGATACCTACCTTTAGCTCCTGTTCTTGCTGGCTAGGTAGGTCAGGAAACCTGTGATGTGTTTACAGTTATATATGGTTTGAAAAAACAAAACAGAACAAACCCTTTTGAATTACCAAGCTTGCTAATATGGTGGAAGAATGGGATATTATTCCTGAATAATCGGAAGGAGTCTGTAAGATTACATCTCAGTATAACTCCTGACTATCAACTATCTGCGTATATGTTTTCTTGCAATTTGTTAAATTGTCTGTTTAAGAGACTATAGATGTTCTGCTTTCACTGTAGACAAATACCTTGAGCAAAAACCTGTCTGAAATGGAGGTAGAGGTAGAGCTCTGTTTCCAAGGCTCCACTTCACCCATATGGTAGACTCATCTAGTACAGGTCATACAACTGAAAATATTTGACCTCCCTTAAGGCAAGTGCCAGCGAATGAAATCTGACAATAGCAATTTCAGACCCTGAGATCTGAGCCAATCTGCAATAGTGAGGTAGATCTTGATCTGAGGTGTAAATTGCCTCTAAAATGATTAAGTAAAAAAAAAGCATAACATGCACAAGTTTGGTATTTGATGGAGATGTGAAAATAGCTTAGAAAGCAAAAGGAAGGCATACAGCAGAAACATCAGTTAAAGAATATACAAGACAAAAAAACAGCTGTTTTTAAATTTTATACCCCTGAGTTAAATTCAGCCCTGAGTTAGCAAAAGTACTTGTTCAGTGAGCTTTATGGTGACTCATGCAAGGCTTGCTTTTTAGTTGCCATGGAATCCCAAATGGATGTAAATTGCATAAGTTCTTCCCCTACGCTCGCTGCCTCCTTTGCTATACCGCCAAATCTGGTTTCTTCTTTTTTAGCCAGTTTAATGTTTAAAATATATTCAACCACCAAATAACATTCAGCAGGTTTGGTCAACTCAGGTAAGATTGGTCACAACAAGCACTTTCTTGTGATGTGTTACTAACCTGATTGGCATGTATTAACTTTGCTAAAGATGTCAGTCCCTCACTGAGTGGCCACAGTCTTAGCTGGCATTTGATGTGATTTGTCTGTCCCTTGTATTATAATAGTTGCAGGGCACAATCTATGATAAGCAAGTTGAGGTTTTTTAGCAGTCAGCTAGAATCACCTTTGTTGCAAAGGTTTTTCCTGGTTTGCCAGAGGGCCTGCATGGCATCTTATGTGGTGGTTGCAAGGCATGTTCCCAGGGAGGTTATTGTCAAACTGGCCCTTGCAATATAGATCAACTTTTCAGTTTGGGAAGGGGGAACAAGCTTTTGAGTAATGGATGCCATTCTGTATGGGAAAGGGAAGTCAGGGAAAGCTGTTACTGTGCTTT